GGCTCGTCTATGCAGTACACCTGCAGGGATGGCTACTCCCTCGTTGGGAACGCCACCATCAGCTGTACCGTCGGGGGAACATGGAGCCGGCCCCGGCCCCGATGTGAAGGTGTGTTTGCGTTGGCTTCTTTTATCTTTCCTGAGGCCCTTTCTTCCTCTTGGCTCTTGGTCTAATCGCTGCAGACCGAATCTCCAGTGAGAGGCAGAGACCAAAGGTCCCACAGGCAGAAGGACCTCCATCTGCCTGCATGGATTTCTCTTTCTGTCCCCCAGTAAGGACAGACTCTCAGGAGCAGCTGAATAATGATATTTTGTGTAAGAGTAAGAGTCAATAATGTTGACATGCCTATGACAGTGATGGCAAGGCTCAGCAGCAGGTACTGCCCCTGGTCAGTGTCCCTCCACACCCAGGATGGGCTCCACGTCCCCAGCGGTGCTCCGTGCTTTTCACTTCCAGCAATCGGCTGCAAAAGACCGGAGATTGAGAATGGAAGAACGACTGGGCTGGAGATCATGTACAGACTTGCGGACACTGTTGTCTTCGAATGCGATTTTGGTTACGCCTTGAAGGGCTCTCAAGAGTCTCAGTGCCAGTTTGGGGGCACGTGGGACCCTCCCGTCCCCATCTGTGAAAAGAGTAAGTGTAAATGAGGTGGTGGGTGGTAGCTGATTTCTTCTGAAGCACTGTGTGAGTGCACCTGGCGTGGTGCAACCGCCGCTCATTGCAGGTAAAGGGGCCACTCTCCTGGACTGAAAAGGAAAAACATGCACATATCTGTCCTCCCATCTTCATAACCCCCATTCAGACCCTTGTTACGTAGGGTTTTCATCTCTTTAAATGAATCCACAAAGAGACAGCGAGCCAGGCTGGTGTCTGCTCTTGTTCGCAACCACAGGAAGGCCAGAGCAAGCTGTTAGGGCCACTGATGGAAACTAACCACTATAAATGCCTAAATAGTGAGAAGTGAACTTTCTTGATGTCAGTAAGCTCAAAAAACATAAAGGCTGGGAGGTAGGTGAGAGCAGGATGGAAACGTAATTCAAACAGTGACAGCCCTAGCTATTTGGGAAAAGTTAATGGGAAAGAAAGAAGTTAAAAGGCTGCCTTACCCTACAGTGGATATTTGTGGTACCAGCTCTTCACCAGTTATGACTTTTTCCCCTCCTTGTAGTGCTACAGTGTCCTTCCCCTCCAAATATCAAAAATGGCCAGCATGACAGTAAGGATGTGAAAGTGTTCATCCCTGGTGTATCAGTGAAGTACTACTGTGACCCCGGGTATGTCCTCACTGGGAAAACAACAGTTTCTTGTTTGACATCTGGAACCTGGAGCATCCCTTACCCCCGGT